AACGTTGCGCGCCTTAACTGCCCGGGCCTTTGTCTTTCGTGTCTCTGCTTGATAATGCAGTTGTGGCTGCCGTGGCTGGGAGATTTCCCCGTTGCGGCAGAAAGTAAAYGGGGTATCGCTGCAGACTGGAGGGCTGGCAGGGAGTCAGGGCTGGGCTAGCTGCTTGGCCAGTGTCTGCTCTAGTGGGCTCCTGCTCTCACAGCCAAGTCATGTCAGCGGGGTGTGCGAGAGCAGAGTGGAGCCCCTGCAAAATGSGGGTCTTCCTAAATGGGGATCTTTCCCTGGTATGAGGGAAGGGCCTGAGAGCTGCCCATCCAGCATAAGGAAGAGTTTCTATGGGCAGCTTGGATGCCTTCCTGCAAGGTGAGTGCACAGCAGAGCRTGCTGGAGCACCGCTGGGTCAGGAGTCCAGCGAGACGCAGCACCAGGCTGTGCCTGCTCAGCCATGCTGCTGGCGCCGAGGCGGCGCTGCCAGCGCTGAGCAAGGGAGAGATGTCAGGTGACAGGCAGGACAGCCCCACAGCAGTCGCTACATGGAGGAGGTCTGGTGTCTGGAGATGAGTGAGCCATCAGCATCCTGTGTTGCCTCCATGAGCCTTGGGCCAGTCCTAGCGCAAGCTCCACCTTGGTCCATACTCCCTGACTCACTCTGAGTGCAGCTGCTGACCTTGCTGACCTAGAGGTCTGCAGAGATTTTGGATGGGCTCTGTTTCTTTTCCTGTTGCCTTAAAGTGTATCAGAAATCATGGCCTTGTGGGGACCAGCATGTCTTTTTGATCCAATCTAGGGATCAAAAATGCCTGGTGCTAGAAAGCATCATAACATGGTGGGATGCTGCCTGGCTTGGAAAGGGGCATGGGCTRTCCTGGGGGGCTAATGGACTTGGTGGTGGTGGTGGTTTTTCTTTGAATTGCTGTGTAACTTTTCTTCCCTTTTAGAGGATCTGTTCTGTCAGCACCAACATGGAGCAGGCCTCTCCAGTCACTTATTGTCACCCCATTTTTTGAAGGTCTAGTCTGGTCCTTGGCCCAGCCTRGGATCTGAAATGGTCCTTCTGCGCTTGCGTGACCGCTGTCTGTCACCGTTCTTTATTTTTCTGTCTGTGAGAGCAGAACCTTCCAGAGTATTTTGAGTAACAAGGCTAAGAATAACTTGTGTGGCGCCCCTGTCCCAGCTGCACACAGCTCAGCATGTCCAGGGCCTTGTCTGGTGCCTGGAGCCAGGCTGCAGATGCCAAGGTGGGACCGCTGATCCTTCCGTGGGAGCAGAGGCAGGTGAGGAAAATGCAGGTGAACAGAGAGCCCTGCGGAGAAGGTGGGAGAGGCTGCAGGCAGCCTGCAGGTCGCAGCAAGGGCGAGTTTCCCTAYCGTCTGTCAGGTTGTGGTATGCAAGTTAGCTCTGACCGCCTGGAGGGGAGGAAAGGGAAGGTGGGGCTAGTGACTTTGCAGCTGAGAGGTGAGTGTTGGTAATTTTGCCTCCTGAGTACTTCAAGTGTTGCAGAGAGGGAGCTCGTGAGGGATGCCCCTACAGTGCTGAGCCCAGAGACCCTTGTGCCCTGTAGCACTGCCATGAGCCCTGGCAGGGTCTGTGGCCTGAGGAGGTTGATGCCATGCAAAAGCCGTGCTTGAGAATGGACTGGATACAAGGTGTTCTCCATGCCCCGGAGATGCTGCTYGGGCTGGGCTTAGCACGCACTGCCAAGCACACCTGCAGCTCTACCTGGGCTCACCAGAGCGTGGTGAGGCGGGCGGGCAGCCAGGGAAGTTGTGAGGCAGGAGCTGAAGGCTGTGGGGATGGCAGTTTGGGTTATGTCCTCCTGCAGACCCACTGGGCTCTGCATAGACCTTTGGAGGGGAGAAAGCATCCCAGCAGCTCTCAGGGAAAGATGGGCCTCACTGCTGGGAGGGTGAGAGGCTGTAAAGGGCTTGGGTGCAAAATGGAGCTGAACTGGGAGTCAAGGAAAGGAGACAGTGCGCTCAGAGTGGTGGCTCCCAGAATAGGCATGGAACTGGGCTGTCGTAGGAGGAAGAAGAGAGGTGATGGGTATAGGGCATTCCAGAGCTGAAGGAGCAATGAGGAAGAATGGTTTCTCCCCCAGAAAAGCTTCTAGGCAATTCCTTGGATGAGGAGCCCTGCTTTTCCACCATTTACCCCATGCCAAGTGCTTGTACCCTTTCCAGTGTTGCCTGCTGACCCTAGCTATCACAGTACTACCAAATTAACGAGGGAGGCCCSTTCAGGGCAGGGTTGTAACCTACTGTGCTGGGAAGGGGTGTTGGGAAGGTTAGTCCTGCTGCATGCGAGGTGGAACCTCAGGTCTGGTGCGACCACCGTGGTGGCACCTGCTCCGTCTCGGCCCTTGGTGTCATTGCTAGCCCTTGGCACTGTGTGGGGCCGAGGGCAGCTGGAGCAGAGTGGTGTGTCAGGGCTCGCCTCACTGAGTGGATGGAGCAGGGCAGGGGTCGGACCTGCGGCAGAGCGACCTCGCGTTGGTTTGGAGGGCCTGGGTGTGCGCTGCGCTGCCGCTGCTGCTTAAACCCACCAGGAGGAAGGGATGGGGCAGGATCTTTGCTGCCATGAGGGTCTGGAGCCACAGCRGGGTTTGGCCTACTCCGGTCTCTCAGATTAGGGGTGTTCCTTACACCACAGGCACCCTGCTGCCCACGTCCCCTTCACAAGGCATCCCCTGTCTGCAGTCTGGCGGAGAGCAGTGGGTGGTGCCTGAGGAGATGGGCAGATATCCCAGGAGGGCTCTTCCTTGGTGCCTGGCATGCCTGGAAGCGCTGCAGAGCGCAGGACRCGGCCTCCCAGCTCCCCACTCGCTGCAGTGAGCGGGCTTGAGTCACCCTGYGCGGTAAGGGCTGTCCCGCCTCTTCCTTCCCTCTGCGAGCCCCGGACCCGGACATGGAGACGTCTCGGCTCCCCCTCCTCRCGGCTCCTCCCTTGTCTCGTCCTGTTGACTCAGTGCTCAGGCAGCCGCAGCGGCTCTGAGCGAGCGGAGCGCTCCCTGCGCTGCACTGCGGGGCACGGGGCGGCCCCTGGCACCTCCCCGGCTGGCACGGGCRTGGATGGATCAGAAACCCGGGCAAGGAGAGCTGCCCAGTCCAGACAGTCCTGCTGCTGAGACAGGACCTGGGCACACCCATTGCGACAGGGAATTCCCTGGAGAGGGCCAGATAAGAGGTGGGCGGCAGCCAGCAGTGTGACCAGGCTGGCAGCTCAGAGGAGACCCTTGTGGAGGTGGAAAGTGCCTGAAATTCCTCTACTCAGCCGTCATGTTTGTGCTGGGAAGCTGGAGCGCACCCTGCGGCACTGCAGGCAGGTGCTTCCCCATCTCTGTCTCCTTCTGGGCTAGGATCAGCTCTCCTCATTCGGCTTATGCTAAAGATAGTGGGAGGACGTGACAGGCCAGGCAGGAGGCCATGACCCAGTTCGGTGCGGAGAAGCACTGCAGTCTGCGTTGGGGATGGGGCACGGGGGGATCCGTGCAGCGTGTGTGCACACCCAGGAKTGCACACCCAGGAGTGCTTTTCCAGTTGGTGGCCCAGCTGGGCTCTGCTTGTGCTGCCTCAGAGCGGTGCTGGTGGAGGAGGTCCTGCTGCGGGGGAGATAGGGAACTGGGTCTCCCCTGCTTCCTCAAAGGAGCAGCCGTGCACAACGCTCTGGTGCTCTGCAAGACTCTGCTGGCTTTGCCCCTGAGGTGTCCCACCAGCCCTGGGCACCCCATCCCATCTCTGCGCCTCTTGCCATCTGCTTCAAACCTTGGGTTTAATTTCTAGGCACCTGGGACTATCTCTGTGTTTCTACCCAGGGTGCCCTGCCTCAGCTTTGCGGTGCCTGTTTTGTTGCAGGGAGCAGAGCTGAAGGAAGTGCTGCCCGTGCCCTGTCATGATGCCTTTCGGGGGAATTGCTGCCCAGCTGCAGAGGAACCGCCTGAAAGCAGAAGGAGTCGGCCAACACCATAATGCCATCAAGTACCTTAACCAGGACTATGAGGCCCTCAAGCAGCAGTGTCTGGAGAGCGGTACCCTCTTTAGGGACCCCCAGTTTCCAGCATCCCCCTCTGCCCTTGGCTTCAAGGAGCTGGGGCCACACTCCAGCAAGACGAGGGGGGTGGAGTGGAAGCGTCCTTCCGTGAGTATCAGGCCTACTTCTCCTCACTGGGGCTGGTGACCCTCATCTGCGATATCTGCGCTAACATGGTGCGCCAAGCTGCAGCTTGGCACTGGCCTGCTGGTCTCCATGCTCCCAGTCTCTCAAGTGCTTCGTAGTGCTCTTTTCCAAGGGATTAGGGCAATGCTTAATGAGTGTCAGCTCAGTAGAATATTATGCCAGCAGGCATATCTTTCCTTCTGGGCTGCAGACCTTGGTCTTTGCAATGGGTGGGTTTTGTCATTGCTTCTAGATAGCATGGCATGGATGTGTTGCTTTCAGCAAATGGGAACCCCCTTTGAGGGTGTGTAACCCAGGGTATTACTGGGGCCAGCCCTTCAGCACTGTAGGCCCTACTAGGTCCAGCACTAGCGTCCTTTCTTCTCTTCCTCCTGCAGGAGTTAGTGGATGACCCTCAGTTCATTGTGGGCGGTGCAACACGGACAGATATCTGCCAGGGGGCTCTGGGTAAGTGCTGGAGGTTTGTCACCAACCTTGGGCTAGAGAGCAGTGGCTGCACAGCATTGACATGGCTGGAGAAGAGGTGTTGGTGTAAGGCATGTGCTGAGATTGTACCAGTTTCCCCAGACCCGTACGGTGCATTTTCATTTTGGCCTATGTACTCCCATCTATGTACTGGAGACTCTCCTACTTAGTGCTGTGATAACTGTGTGGAGTACTGTGTGCACTTCTGGGCTCCCCAGTATAAGAGGGACATGGAGCTTCTCGAGAGGGTCCAGAGAAGAGCAACTAAGGTGATTAAGGGAATGGAACATTTCTCATATAAGGAGAAACTGAGTGAACTGGGCCTGTTTTCTCTGGAGAAGAGAAGGCTGAGAGGGGATCTGATTAACATGTATAAGTTCAGAAAGGGAGAACGCAAGGAGGAAGGGGACAGGCTGTTTTCACTGGTGGCCAGCGATAGGACAAGGGGTAATGGACATAAGCTGAAACACAGGAGGTTCCATCTCCAGGTGAGGAGGAACTTCTTTACTGTGAGGGTGACAGAGCAGTGGAACAGGCTGCCCAGGGAGGTTGTGGAGTCTCCTTCTCTGTAGGTCTTCAAAACCCACCTGGATGCCACCCTGTGCCACATGCTGTAGGTGTGCCTGCTTGAGCAGGAATGTTGGACTAGATGATCTGTAGAGGTCCCTTCCAACCTTAAATATTCTGTGATTCTGTGATAACTGTGGAAGATGGGGAAACAGTTTGTGACTTCTGTTGGCACCACATTATGAGCCTGTGAGCATGGGATGATGGATGTGCAACCCAACTGTGTTAAGACCAAGGGAGATGCCAGGCGGATCTGTGCCTGACACACTGACAGCCGCACCGGGAGCTGCTCCACGCAGCTGTCTGCCCTCCCAGACAGTGAGAGATGACCATGGGCAGTAATAAACTGAAGTGAGGAGATGCTGGTCGTGACAAAGTGCTTGCGAAGTAGCACTGTGGGGAAGAGGAGAAGTGAAAGGAGAGCTACGTAGTACGAGCACCAATCCCTCCTTTTTCCAGGAGTGACCTCCAAGCCTAGGGGCAGCAAAGATACTGAGGCAGGGAGATGTTTCTCATCTGGATTGAGCTGGACACTTCATGAACATCAAGCACCTTAGCAGAGCTCGATGATTTCAGGACTGACCTGAGCGTGAACCATTTAACATATCCAAGTCGATGCAGTAGCTTGAGCAAGTAACGACACCAAGCAAAGTGCCTTTTAATTGGTCATCAAGAGGCCAAAGTCAGGAACACCGTTTTGTCAAACCACAGCACAGCACAGGTTATCAAGGCTTGAGGCTAAAATATGACAGGCTTTAAAGGCAAAAATATAAAGAGTAACCAGGGTAAAGAATTTAAACAGTTGTGGTTAAGAGCACTTGGAAGGAAATCTGCAGTGTTGCTTCTCACAACCTGAGAAGTTGGARCAGCAGTGATTTAAACCTCTTGCTCAGCGATCGAAAACAAATCATTTATTAAAGCAAAGCGCAGTTGCGTTGCAGAACTTGCTGTCTCAAGAACTTGCTGTGAGTGTGGAGGGGAGCACTAATGAGACCAAAGATGGTCTTGAGAAATAACTGCAGAAGGGGGCCATAGATGCTGACCATACGAGATGGTCTAGAGACAGGCTCCAGATTAGGGGGTCATTCCCTGTGTGCCTTGATTTAATTCTCTCCAAGCACATGCTCTTATGTTAGGTGGGCTACAAGTGAGGTGTGGTGGCAGCTCTGAATGTGGGACAGGGGTGTGGGATGGTGATGGAGACAGTAGAGAAGTTCAAGATCAAAACAGCAAGATAGGCACAGCTCTGGGGCAGTACGGGGAGTTGCTGGAGGGTGTCAGGTTGGGAGGATGCCCACAGAGCTGGTATCTGGGCTCCCTCCCAATGTCCCAGGGGCTCGGTGTCTCCAGAGACCCCATCGGATGTGCTTGGGAAGTGGTTACTGCCTGGCCTCTGCAGGCTGAACAAAGCCAGCTCCCTGAGCCTCTTCTCACAGGGCATGAACCTCTCGCCAGCTTGGCCTCCTTCTGCTGGATCTCATCCAATTTCCCCATGCCCTTTTTGGACAGGGGAGCCAGACTGGCGTGCGGCTGGCCTGTGCATGCCCTGATATCACCACTGTTCTACTACAGAAGTTGCAGTGAGCTGGCATGGCAGCCCATGCCTCACCCAGGCTTCCTCTCCTTCCCCAGGTGACTGCTGGCTGCTGGCTGCCATTGCCTCCCTCACACTCAATGAGGAGCTCCTGCACCGCGTGGTGCCCCACGGGCAGAGCTTCCAGGAGGATTATGCTGGCATCTTCCACTTCCAGGTAGGCAGGAGTTCCTGGCCCTCTTCAATAGGCTTTTGGTAGCCCAGGGGTGGGCTGGGAGCAGGGTGGACTGTCAGTGGTCTGGGCACATACTTCTGTGTAGGATTATCCAGGGAGTGTGGTGCTGTTCAGTGTACCTCTGGCCCACTCATCCTCACTTTTCTCCCTAGATCTGGCAGTTTGGTGAGTGGGTGGACGTGGTGGTTGATGACCAGCTGCCCACCAAGGATGGGGAGCTCCTGTTTGTGCATTCAGCAGAGTGCACTGAGTTCTGGAGTGCTCTGCTGGAGAAGGCCTATGCCAAGTGAGTCCTGTTGCAGTGGGCATGAGGATTGATGTGCGCCTTGCTGGTGGGGGCAGACAAAAGTGTGGGGGCCTCTCCTCTCCCTGGCCCTGCTTCTGCAGGTGCTTGGGAAGCAGCAATGTGGGGTATCCCTGTCACCTTGTGTATCCATCTTGTAACCTCTGATGCTCAGGCTGAATGGCTGCTACGAGTCGCTGTCCGGGGGCAGCACCACTGAGGGCTTTGAGGACTTCACTGGTGGTGTGGCAGAGATGTATGACCTCAAACGGCCGCCACGCAACTTGGGCCACATCATCCGCAAGGCATTGGAGAGAGGGTCCCTGCTGGGCTGCTCCATTGACGTAAGTGGTGTGCTGCTCSTCAGAGAGGAATGCTCTCCTCCAGCCATGGCCAAGGCGAGGCCTCACAGCTCTCTTCTGGAGTACCAAAATCCTGTGCTGGCAGTCCCTTAACTGGGGTAGCAAGCAAGWGGTTATTTCTTTCCCACCTTATTGAACAGCCTTTTCAAACCAAGCATGGTCACAGCACATAGGACTACAGTTTAGTTTCTGGAAATGGTCTTGTTTTGGTGCAGTTGGAAATGTTCAATAGTCTGGACTATTGATGGGTGAGGGTCAGTCTACTTGTCTGGCCATGTTTTCTGTCAGTATCTGCAAATTAGCTGCTTTTGCGTTTCCTGACAACTTCCTTGTCATCCACAAGCAAGGCAGTGTATTGCCCCATCACCATTGCTGGTGGTACCTCTTCGATTTGCAAATCTGAGTGGGACCAAATGTAGTCCAGGTACAGTTAGCAGCCTGCCAGAATCCAAGGTGTGTTGATAGTATTACATATGTGGCTGGAGCCTATGTGGTTTTTACAAGTGACTTTTGCAATCTCTCTGCACCACAATGATCCACTGGCTAACACCTTCCGGGATTTGTAGTTTTCATGGACAATGTTTTTGTGGTATTGATGATGGCACTGTGTTTTGGGAAGCACCAAATGTTTTTTCTGATGTTTAGATCATTTTCTGATGGCCTCTGGGTAACCTCCAGCAGGGAAGCTGTCTTTAAATTGTCTTCATTCAGCAGCCTTTGAACACAAGGAGCTGATAGCTGCTACTTGCCTTTGTTGGAGGGTTGCAAAGCAAGGGTGATTCTCCAGACAAAGCTCCTGCTGGGGAGGGGTTGGGAAAGGAGAACATGAATTTTATTTATCTCATTCACTTAAGCTTTCTGCCTCCCCCTCAGATCACAAGTGCTTTTGACATGGAAGCAGTGACCTTCAAGAAGCTGGTGAAGGGCCATGCCTATTCTGTCACAGCCTTCAGAGATGTGAGTTGGCTGCATGGGGCTAGGATAGAAATAAAATGGCGAGACCAGCAGCATGGGTTTAACATCTTATATCTGATCTCTTGCAGGTGATTTACCGGGGTCAGCAGGAACAGCTCATCCGCATCAGGAATCCCTGGGGTCAGGTSGAGTGGACCGGAGCCTGGAGCGATGGGTGAGCTCACTGTGGCCCTGCAGTGCTGCTGCTGGCAGGTCAGCTGACACTGCACACAAAACAAACAGGCACCTCTTGCATAGCACTGCCTGTGGGTAGGTCAAAGCATGCAGTGCCCTTCTTGTTGGAGAGGGGGTCCATTGAGGGCCAGCTGTGAAGTGCATAGTGCTGAGAGTGTCTCCATTCACCTTGAGAAGTCCTTGTCTAACTGTGTCCTTCCTGCTATACCAGTTCCTCTGAGTGGAACTACATTGACCCCAGTGACAGAGAAGACCTACAGTTGAAGATGGAGGATGGAGAGTTCTGGTGAGTAGCAGAGAAGTGCGCCTGTTTTTCTGTGTCCACCTTGGACACAGAGAAAAAAAAGCAGAGGAGTTGTGGAGAGATTCTGCAGGCCAGCTTCTCCTGAAACACTTGACTTGTCCTTATTAGCTGCATTTCCATTGCTGGAGAGCCCGTTAACTTTTTTTTTAATCTGATTTAGTTAATGATTTCCTTTCCCTTAAGGAAATTCTGCACAACTAAATGCAAGTTAATACCTAGGAAGGACAAACATCCCATATTCCCCAAGCTGAGCRGGAGGCTGTAAATCAGCTAACACTGCTCAAGGTAGAAGATCGTAGTCTCACTTAATTCTCCAGAAAGGTTGTCTCTGTTTGGTGGTGGCCACAAGAGGAAGCTGCACCCTGAGAAAGGGGCTAGAAGTAGGGAGCAAGTAGGAAGGCATTGCTTAGTACTTCTCAAGCCACAAAAACAGTGGGGTCCCCTGTGGAAATACTGAGCAGCCAGCTTAGGCAAGCATTGGAAGCCTGATGTGGGACGCTCTTTGGCAAGATTCCTTTTGGAAGGACATAGAGAAACTGTTCAGCTGGGTTCAGAGCTTTCCCCTTCCCTACCTCCCTAGCTGTACGCTGGCCTTAGCCCCTGCTCTGCCTCCTGCAGGATGTCTTTCCGGGACTTCATGAGAGAGTTCTCCAGGTTGGAGATCTGTAACCTAACCCCTGATGCCCTCACCAAGGATGAGCTGAGCAGGTGGCACACACAGGTGTTTGAGGGCACATGGCGCCGTGGCAGCACAGCCGGGGGCTGCAGGAATCACCCAGGTACTTCTGCATCCCGCACCTTCGCTCCTTGATGAGCAGCCACACAGCTCAGCAGCAAATGAGCCACGAATCTCATTCACGTGTCCCTCCTTCCCTCCCAGCCACATTTTGGATCAACCCCCAGTTCAAAATCAAGCTGTTGGAAGAGGATGATGACCCTGGGGATGACGAGGTAGCCTGCAGCTTCCTCGTGGCCCTGATGCAGAAGCATCGTCGGAGGGAGCGGCGAGTGGGTGGTGACATGCACACCATCGGCTTCGCCGTCTATGAGGTAACSCCCCCGTGCTGCTGCAGCTTTCTTGGGACTGGTTCCTGCCAGTCACACATTTGGTGTTCTCAAGGACACTTTCCCTTCCACTTTATGGGTTAATGTTCCTTCCCTCCTTCCTCCTGCAAAATCCTTGCCCCCACTACCCTCCAGGGCTCTTTGCTGCTGTAAGAAATAATGCAYAGGAATGGGGGTTTCTGATATCCCTGTTCTCTACTCTCTGCAGGTCCCTGAAGAGGTATGTCCTGGGCCACTGGACTTCACTGACTCTTGGAGAGGAACCCAGAAGTGGGCAGGAAGGAGTTAATGCTCACACACACATGCATGTGTACACAAACACATTTGCACGCCCTGTGCCATGGGAGTTCCCACTGYCCTCACAGTCCATGAGTACTAAAGGGTGCTGCACACCTTTGTGCTGGGGAGAGGGGATGAGTCACATCAGGTAGGACTGTGAGGAACTCTCRCAGAGCAGCTGCTGGGCTCACGGTGGCAGGACCAGGCCCCTCCACACCAGCTCAGCGTGCCATGCAAGTGAGCCTGGGCCACAGCATGAACATGCCACTTGGRTGTCACCTTGTTCCACAACACAGAGCCAAGCAAGGCTGAACCGTTACAACGGCAGCTGCTGAATTGACTGGCTAGGGCAGGTTCTACCCCTGTGGGCAAGTTTTGGTCTCCCAGCTCCCTGTGAATTCCCCTCTCGTGACTGCTGGCTGAGCTGGTGTCCATCGGTGCATTTACTTCCCCCAGGCTCAGGGCTGCCAAAATGTGCACATGAAGAAAGACTTCTTCCTGCGAAACCAGTCACGGGCACGATCCGAGACCTTCATCAACCTGCGGGAGGTGAGCAACCAGATCCGGTTGCCTCCGGGAGAGTACATCATCGTGCCCTCCACCTTTGAGCCACACAAGGAGGCTGACTTCGTCTTGCGAGTCTTCACTGAGAAGCAGTCGGACACAGAGTGAGTCCCTTCCTCCAAACCTCATGCTGCATCTCAGCCCTTGGCTTTGCTAGGGGGATGTCATAGCACAGGCCARCTTGCCTGGGCAAGGGGGACCCCTGAGCTGTGGGAGAGTCCTCCTCTGCAGACAGCCTGCTGCCTGGCTCCCCAGCACTCTCTCATCTCTGTTTTCCCCCTTTGTGCTTCAGGGAGCTGGAYGAGGAGATCTCGGCTGATCTGGGGGATGAGGTAAGACCCACAACTCTCAGTCAGTGCTGAGGCTCTAGGGCTTAGAGGAAGTGGAAGCTGCAATCAGGAGCCAACTGCGTGGGTTTGGGCTGGTGGTTGGAGGTGACAAGGTGAGGGGGATGTGAGAGGGAACGAAGATGGCGAGAGCCTCCCTTCCTGCGTGAGTTTGCTAAGCCTCAGAAGTAGGGCTGCGCCAGGTTTTGTTTGATAACCTCGTTCTCTGGCTTGTGCCACCTCAGGAGGAAATTTCTGAAGATGACATAGAAGATGGCTTCAAGAATATGTTCCAGCAGCTGGCAGGGGAGGTGGGTATGGCAGCGCCAAGCTCTGGGAAACGTGGGGAAGGGACAGGGCTCTGTCTGCTAATGCTGTACTGTACTCTGTCTGTAATGCTGCTAATGCAGCTGGAGGAGTAGAGGCTTCCCTAAGGTGAGTCCTGGAGGCTGTTGGGCATCCCTGGGCTGGCTGATGCCAGCTACTTCTTCCCAACCAGTGAGATCTGTGTGCCTCAAGCTCACTCAGTCCCAATGCTGCAGGCAAGTAGCTGCAACGTGGCCCAGCTCCCTGCAGGAGTGGCATGCCCAAGAGTAGATTTGGGGGAGTCCAGCTGTGGCCTCAACCATTCTGTGTGTGCAGGAAACTTTGCAGCACTCTGGTGCTTTGTGAACAAGGTGGAGGTCTTTGGGAAGCAATGGAAGAAGGGTCACAAGTGGACTGAAGAGCAGCCCTCCAGCCCAGCTGGGAGAAGAAGTAGTGGGTGCAGGCAAGGGGCTTGCTAACGCTGTTCTTATTGCAGGACATGGAAATCAGTGTCTTTGAGCTCAAGACTATCCTGAACAGAGTCATTGCTAGGCGTAAGTACTGCTTTTTCTCTGCATAGCCCTGGCCTGTTCGATGGGTTGTGTTTTCATGTGCATAATCTTCCTCCTTGCCTTCTCAGACAAAGATCTGAAGACAGATGGATTCAGCCTGGATTCTTGCCGCAATATGGTCAATCTGATGGATGTATCCTCTTAGCACTGAGGTTAAGGGCCGACTTCTGTAGTGCTCAGTCCTGCTGCAGGGAAACTTCTCTGCAGGAGCTGAGGAGGGATCTGGCCTCGCTCTTTAAAGGGGGGAAGGAAGGGTCCTTGCAACTGCCACACTAGGGCTTCAGGGATGTCTGCRTTGTGCACCTGCAGAGTTAGCCTGTAGCTCTGTGGACCATCTGAGCTGCAGTAGCTGGTTTCTTGGACAGAACCGTGAGTTCTGCTTGTTTTGGGCCCTGGCCCCTGTCTGCTGCCAGAACCCCAGCTGAGCTGTGCACATGCTTTCAACCTTCCCTTCTGGACCTGATGCTTCTTTTCTCCATGGGTTCGCAAATAGCAGGCAGAGGTCCTGCTTCACCCCAGAGTGATAAGCTATGACAGCACACAGGCTTTGAGGCATTCCTAGAAAGGGAAGAGGGGTGTCCTCTTACCAAAATCCTCTTGACTGGCAGTTAAAAAATGCCATGCGACACGCTTTTAGCTGCATGCCAACATGCTGTTGCTCTGACAACCCTGCTTCAGAGTGCTGTGCAAAGCAGAAGTGCAGCCCTTTCTGGGAAGAGACACAAGAGCCATCTTAAGCATTGCACTTTCCTTAATGGGTTGCAGGCTCTGCTCTTATGACACAGGAAGGAGAAGGGAAGTCAAAAAGAAACTGGACAGATTGAAAGTGCTTTGGCTGAAATGTCCTTTCTCAACCAAGATAGTTGGGATCTGATTGCTATGCCTCAGGACCTACCTTTCATTCCACCCCTTTTGCTGGCTCTTTTTTTCCCTTAATCCACTGCTCCGCAGAAAGATGGCAGTGCCCGCCTTGGGCTGGTGGAGTTCCAGATCCTCTGGAACAAGATCCGGAGCTGGCTGGTAAGGAGAGGGGGGCACAACACACAGTGCAGTTGGAAGCACTGTGAGGGAATGGCCAGAATGGAGAGAGGGGGAGAGCCTGCCCCTTACAGCCTCCGTGATTTTTCTGCAGAACATCTTCCGTCAGCACGACCTGGATAAATCAGGCACCATGAGCTCCTACGAAATGCGCATGGCTCTGGAGTCGGCAGGTAGGTATGGAGGAGGATGAGCCTGGGCTGAGGCAGGAGAAGCATGAGGCCAGCCTCTGCTTACTTTCAGCCCATCTGTTGTGATAGTGGGATTGGGGCCCACATCTGAGCTGGGGTCCATCCTTCTCTGATGCAGTCGTGCTGAACACTGGTAGCCTTGAAGTCAGGTATCCAGGCACAGTTATCCCTACTACTGCGCTCCTCTGACCTATAGGATCTAATCCAGAGTTTAACTGCTCATCAAGCAATGGTCTGTAGCTCTGCAGAGAGCGTCTCTTCCTCCCAAGTGTGGGCTCAGCCCTTCCCCTGGGGTAGGGGCTTTGGGACTCACATCCCTCTTTCTAGGCCTCCCTGGGTGCTGACTGCTCTCTGACTTTCAGGTTTCAAGCTGAACAATAAGCTGCATCAGGTGGTGGTGGCTCGCTATGCAGACCCCAACATGGGTGTGGACTTTGACAACTTCGTCTGCTGCCTGGTCAAGCTAGAGGCCATGTTCAGTAAGTTCCAGGTTCAGGATAAGGAGGGAAAAAGGGGAGAAGGGCACATTGCTCAGCTGCTTCTTCTGGTCTGCAGGGTTCTTCCGCAGCATGGACCCTGAGGGCACCGGCACTGCGGTGATGAACATCTCTGAGGTGAGAGCTCAGCTAACAGCTCTGAGCAGTGGGTCCAGAGGGTACAGGGGCTCGGGGCTAAGGCCCGGGCTCAGGAGGTAGGAAGCCCTGCACCCCCTTGGGTAAGGTAAGGGGTAAGAGTCCCTGAAAGACTGAGAGACTTCTCTTCAGGGGCTATCAAGATGTTGGTAGTTTGATACCCCTGCTCATACTGTCTCCCTCTTTTTTGCAGTGGCTGTTGCTGACGATGTGCGGCTAAGAGCCACCACAGATGCACTGCAGCTAGGCCACCCCAGCGGGCCCGGCCCAATCCAAGTGCCTCCCCTTGGATCCATGGACACAGGAAACTTTTACCCTACCTTGCTCCACCTACCAGCCTTGCCCTGCCTCTCAGCAAGACTTACTCTGCAGTCTCCTGTGGACTGTCTTGAAGGGTTCAAGGCAGGCAGGGGCTGCTCTTCTCTTCTTCTGGGCTGGGCTGCTTTTTCACTCTTCCCCCTCCTCTATCCCCACCCCAGAAGCAAGGAGGGCAGGCAGCATGGGAGCACTTGTGCATCACTGTACCTGGCTTTTTAGCAACCATGGTGGAGGCAAGTGAAGGAGCAGGCTCAAGTGTGGCTGCAGAACAGGAAGCAGGTGGACCTTTGGGGAGACATTGTGGGGTGAGGGGGGAGATGACTGGTGTTGCTAGCTCCAGCGCTGTCCCATTGCTGCTGATACCTGCATGCTGGGACCATCACTAGGTATTACACCACTCCAGTGGAAGAGAGTGCAGGCCAGGGCGAGGAGGAAGGTCTGTACTCTTAGCCCGCCATTGCCACTAAGCGCTCTCTAAAAGGTAAGCATAACCAAAGTGTGGCGTCCACGGTGGATCAGGACACCAGCAGTTGGTTCCTCATCCTCCAGACTCCATTTGTGTGGCCTTGAACACATGCCTCGCATATCCATGGCCCCTTTCTTTACGCCAATTTAAGCACTGAATGTTTCGAGGGCTCTCCTGTTATGTGATCATATGACACCCCTACGCACAATGCAGTGGACGTTTCTTCCCATGCAAGCCCCGGAGTGCCACCACTCTAGTGCCATTGCTTTCCCCAGCAGCAGGTTCCCCTCCTCTCCTGCTGAGGCCAGCACTGGAGCTATGGTGAGCACTTGGCCCTGCCCTTCCCTCTTCCCTCCTGTCACTCTGCCCACTCACAGCCCTTGGCAAGGCCAGGGCAGGGTCTGGTACCTGCCATGGAGCAGAGGGGAGCTCTGCTCAGCAGAAAGGAATGGGTAGATTTCTACTGTTCACAAATGTTTCAATCCTTTACACTATCATCACCTGCTGCTGTACTGCCCTGCTCCCTTGGGCCACTGAGCAAACTGACTTGCACTTTCCTGCACTCCTCCATTCCCATCACCTTTTTTTCCTGTGGTAAGGGGGTGGCTCTAGCTTGGCTGTGGGTAAAGGGCCCTCCTTTGCCCTATAAGATGTAGGCAAGACATTTTGTCTGTTCCATGCCCTTGCCCTTGCTGGAGAACGTGCCTCAAGCAATAACCACTCAGCCTCAATGGCAAAACTGCTTTTTCACCTTGCTCACTGTGTACTCCAAATAATAAACAGAGATCTGTGAGAAACGTGGCCCAGACAGTGCCTGGAGGAATGGGGACAGTGTCTCCTTGTGTATTGTGGATTGAGACCTTCCTGGACTAAGCTGTATCTGGTGGGAAGGAAGCAGAGGAGGACTGCAGGAAGGTGGGAGATGGGTCCAACTTCAAGCTGTGGTGTAATGTGCTTCCACAGCAGCCTAAGCATGAAAAGGTACCTAAGTATGGCTGCACAGGAGAAAGAGGCGCTAGATGGCTGCCAGGACTGGTGTAGGGGGTGGATGAGAGGCTAGAATCTGCTGCTCGTCTTGAACACAAGTGGAGGAGCAACACCAAGCTCTGCTCCTAGTGTGGAGGTGTTTAGCACCACCAGGGCTTTGCAACTTCATTTCTGTCTTCGTTGCCCCTGAGGGTTGGTGCTGACCTGCAGGAGCAGCACGATGTCCTGGGGGTTTAGGAGAGTGGTGATCTTCAAGAACAAGGCCTGTTCTTTGCTGTGGCAATCCTGAAAGTGAACTGGTAGCATGGCCCTTCCTGAGGAGAGACCTTGTCTCTTTGCCTGGGTCAACATGCCCCGCAGCAGGCCGGGCCGAGGCTGCCAGGAGGGGGCAGCGCTGCCCCGTGGCATATCCCAGGTGGTGGCCATGGCAGAGCTGGGTGCCCATCAGGGCCCACGCGATGGTGGCTGGGCAGCCAGACCCCGTGCGCTGTGCTGTGATGCGGGCGGGAGGGAGGCCACGCGCTGCGCGTGGCTCTCGGCCTTTTATTTTGAGGCAGAGGAATAGTCAGCACTCAGCACCCAGCTGTGCGCCGGAGTAGGAACCTTCTGTCTGGCAGGAATGGGGTGGGACAGGGACGCTGAGGCCCAGCCTCTGCCAAAGGGACATCTGTGCAGCAGCTCACTCTCTTTAGAGGCTTGGGTCTGGTCGGAGTTTGGTGAAGCTGTTCCTGGACACTGGTAATATATGGTTAATTTGTAAGCAAAGTATGTCAAAGCACTTCTCTGAAATGCCAGGCCATATGTGCTTTGCGAAAGGTTGGGAAAAGGGGAGCTGCTTGGAGAGGATGGAGTTAAGCATGGAGCGGGTGGGAGTGGAGAGCAGCGTGGGCCCTGCAAAGGAGACCACACAAGGCATCTGAAGCTGGACAGGGCCTGTGGGAGGCCAGGATTTCCCACTCTTTCCTTTGAGGCCATGCGTATTACAGCTGGATGCAAAAGCTTCCAGGAAATCAGCACAAGAGAAAGATAGTGGAGCAGAGGCTGGTCCGGATTTTAACTGCATTGCTCAGAGCCGGATTCACTCCTTAGTTGGTTCAAAAATGTTCGGTTCCTGCCAGTCACTGATACCCAAGAAGGGAATCATAGCTCAGACAACGCCGGCAGTGTCAGTGTGTGGAAAAGCAGCGCCCTCACCTGTCTTACCTCTCCTGGCACCTTTATGTCCTTCACCTTCCTGCCAGCCCAGCGCCCTTGGGCTGCTTGCCTAGCCCGGTCTCAGCTCCGCAGGGTGGTGTGCGCTCCCCAACGTGCCGTGGGGAGCCCCACAAGCCAGGCCCCGTGAGGCAAGCACAAAGAGCTGTCATCACCACGCAGCTGCAGGGTCGCACCGCGYGCACGCAGGTCCCAGTTGGGGGACACGCTGCTGGCCTGGCTTTGGGAGGACAGGTGTCCCAGCACAGCCTTATCGAAACACCCTCCCTGCGGGTGCCAGCTGGCAGATTCCTTCTCCTGCCGGCCCCTGTGGCTTTGGGCCCAGTATGTGCAGGAGGTCGGCAAGTGGAGGGTCCCCAGCTGCCAACTAATGCTACAAAGAGTCGCCTGGCTCTGGTTTCCRGAGGGCTCAAGCAGGAGGCCCAGCAGGGTGCTTAGACTCTGGTATAAGGAGAGGAGAGCGAGCAATTCAGGGGAGCCGGTGTGGGCTTCCTGCTTTTCAGTGGGCTGGGAAGGGGCAAGGCTGTTCAGCCCCCCACACAAGGCCAGGCCCGCTCACACCTGGGAGCTACATTTTTTCCATGGGTGCTTGACAGCTCTCCCCTGTGCTCAGGCAGGTCTGCCCTCACGTCCTGCACCTCCACACCCGGCAGAGGAGCCCACTCGGACCTGCCTCCCGCCGGCCAGCAGCGCCGGGGCTCTCYCTCTCCCCAAGCACCCCTCCAGCTGCTTACGTCCCTCCTGCCCGCGCGTGCCGGCCTGCGGGCAGGGGGGCAGGGGGACCCGCAGCCCCTGCCCACCTGTCCCTRCCAGCTGCCCCAGCAGCCGGCTGCGGTCCCAGGCCCCCCTCAGAAGTATCTCGCTGAGCCCACGGCTGTGGCAATGTTGGGCCCGTGGGCATAAGGGGGCCTTTGTGTGAGAGGAGGCCAGTGGGGCRCAGGGGGACATGAATGGGCCCGGCGTGCCAAGCAGGGGCTGAGCGGAGAGGAGCCGCGCTCCGCAGGCACGTGCCGGGGCAGCAGCTGCAGCGGCCACTGTGCTGCCGAGTGTGGCCTGCACCCGTGATAGCCGCCCCTGGCTCCCCTGCCATGGCCACCAGGCGTCTCCCCACAGCCCCTGTGCACTGCTGGCACCTCCTGCTTGCCAAGGGACTGAGCCCCATGGCAAGGCCTGGGGTGCGGGCTGGGGGCCTACAGAGAGGGGCTCTTGGCAAGGAGGGTGCACAGTAAGGGTAGGAGCAGAGCGGGGTCTGCCCCATGGCAAGCCTGGGAGCTGGAGGCTCAGAGTGCGGCAGCTGCCGCGTTCAGCCGTTTTCAACAGCTGCCGTCTCAGCGCCAGCGAAAGGGGGAATGTGCATGGGCTGGGAGCTTTTCAAGGCCTGGACACAGCGCATTAAACAAACTATTTATAGTCCTCACATCCCTCCTCGAGCACAAATAGCCRGCATTCTTCTTGCGCGGAGCCTGCGCGCTCAGTTGCCACGGGGGCTCCCTGCTGCCACCACAGGCACTCTCTGGGTGCCGCCTGCCAGCACAGCTGCCACCCGCTGCATGAGCACTGGGCAAGTCCCCTCCTGGCAGGGGAGCCCCTCAGGAAAAGAACTCACCTTCCTTCTTCCCTCTCCCTTTCTGCTGTCCTGTTCCCACCACTATGGCAGAGCAATGGGATGGTTCCCCGTGGCCAGGCTTTTTGCTGGCACCTTGCCCACTTGGAGCAAGGGGTCACCCCTASAGATTTTAACACCCAATGCCCACTCATACTCATCTTCTCAGTATGCTCCTGCACCTTACTCTGTGCTCTGTGCCATGTATACAGAGCTAAAGCTTACAGAGGTTGGGACTTGTGAGAGCTGCTTAAATATTGGCAGGTGCTAACAGGTTTTCCTTGTCCTGAGGCAACCTCTAAAGTAGAGTGAGTCTYGCCTGCCTACGGAGCTGCACTGCTGCTCTGTGCCTGGGGACTGCTGCAGGCCAGGGAGCAGGCTGGCTGCTACCACACTGCATGCTCAGCCCACTGCCTCTCGCATCRGCCCCCTTTGCCTCTCCCAGCATCATGGGCAAAGGCCAGCATGTCCTGGCCAGTGGTCCATTCCAGTGGAGGAATGAAGCCCTTCTCGGCTTTAGCCCTTGGCTGCTGGGACACAGGGCTCTCCCTCTGTCGTGCTGGCTGGCTCCAGCCGGGGAACTGGCTCCAGCTCCTGTGAGCTCACCCTTGCTCAGCAGGAAGAAGGGGCTGGACTTTGGGCAAGCCGAAGCCCCAGGGCTTTGGGACTCTTCCTTGCTATTGGCAGGCTGGTGTCCTGCCTTGCCTTGCTGCCGGCCCATGAGCAGGGAAGGAAGTGGGCCCCGAGACCCGGCTCCCCCAGGACAAGGGGCCGTTCTCTGCAGCACAGAGGGATGCGTCACTGCCCAGGCATCCGGCAGATGCTCTCCTGCCGCGGGGGGAAGCATCCTGGGGAGAGGACAGCTCTGCACGGTCCCGCTGACGCCTTGAGGATGGCCCCTGCCCTTGTCGTGCGCAGAGCAGCTGTGCTTCTTCCAGCCCTTCTCTTCCACTTACATCCTCACTCTTTCTGCGGGCTTTGCATGATGCCTTGTCTCCTTCAGTCTACCCGGGGAACATCTTGTGCTGCTCATTTTCTGATGTCCAGCTGCTAACTGTCTGCCAGAGATATCCTAGAGCGGAGAGAAATAAGTGGTGGAGGGGTGTACGTGCATGTTTGGACTGGGGAAGTGGATCCCAGCCCTCACTGGCAATTAAATAAGGATAGTTGGTTGAGCAGTGGCTGGTCCTGATAAGTACCTGTAAAACAAGGTATGGGCTACCTGATGAGGCATCTTGAGTTACTTGGTAAAGAGGTATGAAGAATAGGCCAGAAGAGTTGAAAATAAACAGACAGAAAGGCGACCACAGGAATGTAGAGTCCTCTATGGATCAGAGAGGTTAGAGCAAGACTCTAACCACTCTAATGGATCTGGTCCTCAACCCCTCAGAAAGGCTTCAGAGTAATGGAGACACCAAGGCAAGGAAATGCTAGGGAGCAGGTGCTTGTTTGTTTGGCTCCATATAGATCTTTTCCTAGCTAAGACTGAAAGTGTTGACTCAGACACGCAGCCAGCACACTGCTTCCACTCAGGATGGGCAAGGAGGCATTTGTTCCTTGCAGAAATGAAGGGCGTATATACCTATCCAGCAGCTCAGTGCATAGGGACAGTCACTAGCACCTTGTCCCACATCCACGGTGCAAATGATCCTTTGACAGATCACACCAACCACTTGCACTGAGAGTAGCTTTTCTCCAGACCATGGAGACCTTGAGAGATGGAACCAGCAGTAGCCAGGGAAGACTTGGAGAGGAACTTCTTTGCATGCCAAGGAAAGGGAAGAAACCATTGCTGCTTCAAAACCAGCAAGGAGCTCTGGGCACCCTCTGTAGCACATAGGACCTTTACTTATTATATTGTCAGAGATAAGCTTCAGGTGGGGCCTGGTATCCATCTGTTCCTGATATTCAGCCTTTCTCTTGCTCATATGCTATCTCTGGTGCAGACTGAGCTTTGGAATGCAAAGACCTTTTGCCTTAAGAAGGGGAGCGGGGAGGTGGGATCAGCAAGCCTGTTTTCAGCATGGCACAAGGAACAAGCTGGCTCCAAGAAGTAAAATAGGAGGGCCAAGAGGGGATGGGACACTATTAGAGCAGACACACACACTCATGGGACTTCAGTGCCCTAAATCTTGTGATTGGGATTGAAAAGTAGTTACTGAAGAGATTTCATTTTCTTTCCAGATGACATATTCTTTCCAGCTCTGTGCCTGATTCACTATAGGCCCAAGATTATTTCCCTTCACCCCTACCCTTCTCCTCCCTGTGCTGCGCTTTTGCCCAAATATGAAATGAGGCCAAAGAGCCTGACCTTCCAAATGGGCAAAGGGACTTGGTAAATCTCTGGATATTTGGCACAAAAAAAAAAAAAATCTGTCTCTTTACAATGAGTCCCAACAGTTTGGCAAACAAGCCCTGCCCTACTTTCAGCTGAGTGTTGGGATGTTGCAAGCATCTGGCTGGTACAGTAGCATGAGTAACCACTTCTGCTCTTACCTGTGCTTGTTCTCCAGAAAGGAACAAGTTCCTGCAGAAGGCACACACTGAAGCCTCTTTGTTCCCCGGGGTTTTTCCATTCCTCACCCTTTGCAGCTATCCCCGAGCTGTGTAATCTGAAGATGCACTGCCCAGGGAATGCACAGGAACCCCTCTGATTGGGGCCTGTGCCTCCCGTTCTCCTGTGGGATTGAGTGACATGGGGTTTCCCCCACAGCATCCTAGGACAGGAGGTTCTCATCTGCTAGGGCAGAGCTGGGTCCTAAGGTAAGGCTGCCCAGGAAATAAGAGGGATAAGGTTCTCCTCCATTCCTAGGGTGCCTGCCACTGATTAGTGACACTACACTTTCCATTCCCACCGCCCCTAGCCTGCTTAGGCAAAGTGACACTGGCTGGAGTCCTCTGTGTGGTAAGGAAATATTCCTGCTGGGGCTGTGTTGGTGGGGAAATTATAAGGCACTGAGAGTGGAAGTGGCTTCCCTATGGGTACCCGTGAGATCCTGGAGTCTCAGCATCAGGCCAGGTGCTGTAACCACAGCGTCCCTGTCACAAGTGAAAGCAGAAAGCCCGAGATAGCTGCAGCAAAGCCTTTGGCTCCTGCTTCCTTCACTGAGGCTCTCTGGCTGCCGCTGACACTGCGGGGCTTGGGGCGGGAGACGCGGGCRGCGCAGGGAGGCAGCGCGCGCACAGGAACCCTCTGACCCTCGCACACACACAGGCCCAGAGGTCACCTCCAGCAAGGCAGTCCCGAGGGGCTCTCATCAGCCCCCGTCCTGCAGGATCCCAGGCCCGGAGCAGGGCTGCTGAGGAGCTGTTGCCACTTCAGCACGTGGTGTCTTGCTGAGGCGCAGCCAGCCTCTTTCCTCATGCGTTGCTGGCTCCCCAAGAGAAATCCATGGGGCTGGGAAAGGTCACCTTGCCTGAAGTAGTTGCAACTGCCCTTGGATGGGGCTCTCTGGGCAAGGGACGTCTTGTATCASGCAGCTAGAAGACGGAGAGGAGAGCAGTAGCTTTCAGTCCTTTGTGCCTCTTCGTTCTCCTAAATTCTGCTTGAGCCAGAGCCAAGAGTAGGGCCTCAGCAGCCCTACTGGAGGGAACAAGGGAAGGAAATGAAGCCAGACAGCCGCCAGGAACAAAACAAAGGTTAGGCACAGGAGGGAAGTGTATGGGCACAGGCATGAGACACGGACCTTTCTGCCTGCCCCCTCATGCTGGCTGGCTTGCGGTAGTGAGCAACCACTGGCCTGCAGGGCCCTGGCTGCCTGCCCCAAGGCAGCCCAGCATGCGGAGCGCTGGCGGAAGACATAGGCCATTCCGGCTAYCAGTGTGCCCTGCAACCCCTCACAGAGCAAGATCACAGCTCCTTCTTTGGGGTGCCCTGTGGGTTCCCAGTGCCCCATCACCTCCTCTGTGCTTGGTGTTTTGGGCATTCTTGGCCCACTATCTCCTTGGCCACCTGCTCTGGGTGCATTCCTGCCCCTTGTGGGAGCAGGGTGGCAATTGCTGGGGCTGGGATGGAATGACAAGCAGACATATTTTGGACCTGGCTGCCTGCTCAGGGGGTCTAACCAGGCGTGTAGTGAAACAAGACCCCACCCTGCCAGCCCACATTGCTGTGGGAGGCAGATGTTGTTGCTCCCTCCCCAGCGCTCTTACCCTGACAGATGGGGTCCCGGGCTGCAGGGCAGTATCGCTTACAGGGTGCGTGGGGCTGCTTGGGGCTGGGAGGAGGGGGCATTTAAATGGGCAGTCGGGAAGTTTTTGTTGTCCCTCACGGTGCAGACATTCTTGCCACGGGGGCTGCAGGCAGCTCCGCAAAGGAGGAGCTGAGCAGGAAAGTCTCCTCTTGGAGCAAACAGAGCGGGGTCTGGCAGAAGGAAGGATCCCAAGGACGGTAAGAGTTTCTGGAGTTGCATCMAGTCCTGGGAGGAGAGTGACGATCCCTAGAACTTCTCCCCTGAGCTGCCCCAGGCATGAGGCTGCCCGTGGAGTGCTGACCCCAGATCATGGTGCTCGGGCTCCCGCGGGCACCAGTGCCGTCCCTCCTGGGAACTGCACAGCCCGAGGCAGGGAAGGGGGAGCCCCCCGCCGCTGCCGGGACTCCCGGGGCCGGGGAGAGGGAGCGGGCCGGGGGGCGCTGCGCGGCGGGGGCTGCCCCGCACGACGGCGGGGCTGCCGGGCGGGGG